CTCTCTCTCTCTCTCTCTCTCTCTCTCTCTCTCTCTCTCTCTCTCTCTCTCTCTCTCTCTCTCTCTCTCTCTCTCTCTCTCTCGCTCGCTCTCAAATGGAAACTGCATGTTGTTCCTGTGTGAAAGAACTTCTTTTGGAACTCTTCCATTAGTTTCCTGGGTAGTTCCCCTATGCAGGGACCCCACCTTCTTGTCTTGTGAACGGTGGATGCGTGTGTATTATTCAGCGATCCATCTTTTATCTCTGTGCATATCTCATTTTCGCACCTTCCACAGTGAATGTATGTGTGGAGGTATGCGTCATTTTTTTGGAGTTGATTAGACGATTGTTGTCGGGATTTTGTTTGAGAATGCAAGAATGTTTAGATTTGTAGCTCTGAATGTACTACGCATGTCATCTGCCTTATGCTGCACGACCTCAGCACCCGAGCCACAGAGCGACCTCGAGAAACAAGGCGCCTCGGATCAACTTCGCGTTAACCCGAGTCGCGGGCCAGTCCGTAAGTTACATGCATGATCAAGCTGATGAGTGTTTTCTCTGTCTCTCGTGTAGAAAAGGATTGATTGGGGGTTGCGTGAGTGTTTTCTTTTCTTGATGACGTCTCGAGATGTTTGCAATTGATTGATATGTGGACTGACAAATACCCTCCGATCGGGCGTCAGCCTCCCGTACCTCCCGTATCAACACGGCATTTTCCTTACAACGAGGAAAGGACACGTGTATGCGAGTGGGACGTACGAGAAGCTGTCGCACAGATCGGCGGGCGATACTACTTCCCTCCGGCAAACCGTTGTTCAGGGTTCGTAGAGGCTGGGTTTGTTATTATCGACACGCACTTCCCACCCTACTCAATATTACTCCCCTTTAACGAGCTGATCGTTATTCTGTGGACGGCAATGGCGCCCCATTGGCCTCGAACCCTATACACAGAGTGCCAGCGTTTTTATCGCTACGAAGCAAAGGGCTTCCACTACCGAATACGGAGTGAGGACGAGCATAAGGAAAGAGCCACGCGTCTGCGACCCTCCACATCAGACTCAGAACTGACCAGCGAGCGATGACGGGATTTGATCCGAAAACGAGACACGCGAAGCGTGCCGAAGCCCTTCCGCTCTAAATGACGGGCCGTAGCGCGGTGGGAAGCTCGATAATACTTTTTGGATTGAATTTGGATTTTTCTCTTTTCGCTCCGTGCCCGCGCGCGCATTTCGCAACGCGCGAAAGCAACCGACTTACTTCATCGGACCAACACGGGGGATTTCAGATCCGTCTGTGTCCCCACACTCAATTTCCAAAAATCCTTGGCACACCCCATCTTGCTTTTTTTTATGGGCCTCTTTCCGCACATCTAGCACTCTGAACGAAAGACAGCACAGGGCGTGAGGTTGCGCGTCACAATCCGCCTAAGGGGATTCCGGGCGTCTTTTATGATCTTGACTCTTTAAGCGTGCGTGATGGAATGTTTGCCTTGGTGCATCTTTCGCTCCATTCTCATGTTGACAGCTGTTTCGCCGACAACTTTTCATTTCATTTTCATTTTGCCTAAGGGTCTTGGAGAATTCCCAACCAAAGTCGACGAAAAAAAAAAAAAACAATGTCTGGTACTACAAGGCTAGTACAAGCTCCTACAAAGTTGTACCCTAAAACTTGTTGTAGAATGTACCCTGTACGTTGTATTCGTATACAACGTTGATACGTTGTTTTCGGGTTACGACAGAAGTACATGTAGGCATACGGGGAACCCCGTAGCAGCCAGAACCGTGTTCACGAGGGAACATGTGAGGGCTGCTCCCGACCTCCAGGTGGGTGATACTGTCCAGGGGACAGCCGGTAGCATCAGGGACCATGCCAACAGGACCAATCCCTATGCCTCCCCTCAGGTCCCCTTCCCTACGAACATCAGCAGAGTCTGCTCAATGCCGATAGGGGGATCCAGTGGTCTATCTATAGGTGGCAGGCGCCAAGCATGCCCAGGAGGAAGGTATGTGAGGCCAATGGGGATTGAATCCACAATTAAAAAATATGAGGAGAAGGTGGCTTGAAAAAAAAAAAAAAAAAAAGATTGCAGGTCGATCCAGCGGCCTAGCTTAGTTGGTTAGGCAGGCAAGTGACATTCAGGAGGTTGTAGGCTCGAGCCCCATGACCCCCTGCGGTGCCAACCAACTGTGATAGTCCGCTTGACACCCCGATCAGTATTGATAGGATCTATGACCAACATGGGTGTGGGTGTGAGTGTGGGTGTGAGTGTGAGTGTGAGCGGGAGTCGGTTGTGTGTGGTGTGTGGGAGAGTGTTGGCCATAGCCACAGCTGCTACTCAATTGGGGGTGGGGGAAGTAGATAGGAGACGCAGCTACGGGGGCCCCCACCCTGCTCCCTGACCACTGCTAATTAGGGCGGTGGGGAACATGCTTGCAGGGGTCAAGTGTGTAGGCTTAGGAGTAGTGGTAGCACTGGTAGGTTGATAGTGAAAGGAGAAATTGGAGAAGAATATAGCTTAATTTTCAAATAAAGGGACAACAAAAAAGATTCTAGGCTGCCCGGAATGTATCTGGAAGCATCATCCAGCTTAGCTTGCAGGCAAAGCCTGCGGGCCTTTCCCAGGACCTCGGAGGCTGCAATAAGTGCGTAACCTTGGCCTCACGATCTCCTTCTTGGTGTTGAGGAAACTCAACGCTGCTAGTGGGACTTGGCCCCAGGCAAGCTATTCCCACCCAGTGGGTGGACCTGCTCCAGGGGCTGCAATTGGAAAGGGGAGACTGGGTCAGCAGGAAGGGTGAGTGTAGTCCCCCAAGTATCTATAGGGTGGAACAAATTTTGGTGGAGG